TCTCTCTCTCTCTCTCTCTCTCTCTCTCTCTCTCTCTCCCTCTCTCTCTCCTTCCCTCTCTCTCTCTCTCTTGTTATCTCTATCTATCTATCTATCTATCTATCTATCTATCTATCTATCTATCTACCTATCTATCTATCTATCTATCTATCTATCTATCTATCTATCTATCTATGTATCTATATATCAATCTATGTACTTCGCTGTATATACATATATTTCCAGATGTTAAGATTGGTCAAAACTGGCCAGAAAAGAAAGTCCGCGAAGAGCGTGATGCAACGCTGGATCAGTTTCTTTTTTTCGGGGGCAAAGAAGAGAACCTGACTTTGATGGAAGAGAACTGGGTCAGATAGTAGAGAAGCAGCAAGAACATATAGACATGCTCACAGACGAGGTACATAAGCAGAAACGCTTGGTGAGACAGACGTGAGACGAAATAGGCCGCCTTAAATCACTACTTGCCGAAATGACGGAAACTGCAGAACACAGGATGTTCACCGTATTCTGGTTGTTACTGCCCGATCCAAAGTGTTTAGACATCGCTCGTCTGAGGGAGAATATGACTACCAGACTGAAGACAATAGCTGAAACGAAGACAACTACGTTTGGCGAGTACCAGACATGGTTGGAAGGTGAAAGGCACAGGCGCACCGCGGTGTTGAATCGGTTCGCTGCCCACATGAGAGACAAAACTGAGAGAGAATCACGTGGATGGGATGTCGCGTGTTGTGCCAGCATTGATAAGTGTGTGCTCAAGGAAGGGTGGGCATCGTATGATAGTCAGGAATATAACACGGGTTCGATGACTGCCTCATCGTGCAGCGTTGTCGACCTCTTGACCTTCGCAGAAGACTATATTTGCCACTGTAAGGAAAGCATAGACCGGTACTCGTCTTATGGATGGCGTGATGAGGGTGTCGCGACTGGACACGAGGAGCTTCCACGGAATATGAGGTCTCTGTTGAACAGTTGCATGAACGTCATGGATACCCTGCAATACACACGAGGTAGGTTGGTGTCAGGAGAATTGACGGTGAGTTGTCAGAACGGAGTTGTCGTGGAAAGTGCACAAGGTAAACGGATGAAGGCAGATAAAGAATATGACACAACACCATCACTGGCAGCGCGAACACTGTTGGAGACTGCGCGTCTGCGGCACATGCGCTGCTGGCGTGTACCGATGTTAAGTCACCGAATTGTCACAATTTTCGACACAATTTTCCATGTGTCGTCGCTAGCAAAGCGCCCCGTGCTGATGATGACTCTGTTGCAGTACCTATGGCGACAGACACATTTGAACAGTTCGTGGCAAAAGCGAATTCTCGACAAATGGCGAGGCCGGTTACAAATATATGTCCCATCTCATATCATACATGAAAGAGATAATGTTACAGGCTGTAATGAATGCAGGCCGGCGTGGAGGTAAGAACGAATGTCAACATTGCATGAATGGACTCCACATCAACGACCATTTAAAAACTTTGTACACAAGATATCAAATCGTGGCTGCGCGGGTTGTCAGGGAAGCGTGATCTCTCTCTCTCTCTCTCTCTCTCTCTCTCTCTCTCTCTCTCTCTCTCTCTGTCTCTCTCTCTCTCTCTCTCTCTCTCTCTCTCTCTCTTCA